TGCAAACATGGATAATTTGATTTGGGCCCAGTCACAAAAAATAAAAACGAGGATATAGAAAGTTTACTATGAAAAGTACTGGCTAATAAAAGATTGATTACTGAAAGACAAGGAAATTCTAAAGAATAAAGGAAGGACTGAGTATGGGAGAGCCACAAGTGTTTGAGATTTTCTTTTGGTTAGAGAGGAAGTGATCGATGCTGATTGTGGAAGGGATGAGTTTACTGAGGCATCTTCCCTAAGGTCTGGGAAAGAGAATGTTTTACATCATTTTCTTTTAAACTGCTAGGTATTACATGAGTGAGTTTCTCAGGTAGTACCTCTCGTTAAGTATCTAGGGAAGTGTTTGGTCATATCTAGAGTGAATAATGTGTGTGACCTCATCCTGAATTTGCTTTAAGCAGTCATTTGTGACACATGTAACTAAGAGGTTATATAGTATTCCACTTTGAAGATTCTGCTTTCACAGATATATTTAGTAGTATTAGAAAACTGAGAATTTAGACTGTAAACGAATTGAAATACTTTTATTTATTTTGGGCTGTAAGTTAATACAAAATTTAATTGCTGATGCTAGATATGGAAAAGATTTAATTGGACAAAAGAGAGCGCTAATAGTAATTTATTCACACCAGATAGGGATAAATTTTGTTTAAATAGTAGATTTGGGTAATTCAAGGATATGAGTTGATTCATATAAGTTTTGTGTTAGCTACATGTTTTCTAGAATGTAAGCATTCCTATTTAAAAACAGACTGTATCCCAAACAATGTTACAAGTTATATTTTTGGAAGTGAAAATATATGTTCCCATAGAAACCAAGTTTCTTGGTGTGGGATTTTTATTTGGTTGTGGAATGCATTTAATTTTTGTGTGAACTTAGCTTATATTGCTATGTAGCATTATTTTTGGGGGAGAATTGCATTTGAGGTTTTTAACTTATGCTGTATATTTATGTATGTTTTGGTCTGCCTGTGAATAGTCTGTATCATTCTTCTAGGGTCATGGATGTGTAGGGTTGAAACACTGGGTGACAGGTAGGGACAGGAGCTTGTGCCAAAAAAACCTGGGCATCCATGGTTTTATATAGGGTCATGTGCTTGCATTGCCTGTTGGTAGTGATTTTCCTCAAAGCATCTCACTTATTTTCCCTTTCTTTTTTGAATACATAAATGCTTACTCTTATTTGTAGTTCTTGGATGCTATAGAAAGGATGAGATTTTTAAAATTCAAGTTTCTGACATTAGTGAGGCCAAATGGAATGAATAAAAATAAAAATACACCTTCAGATTTATGTGCTACAGAAAGGTAAATGAGCTGTTTTGGTGTGAAGGTACTTTTATTTCAGAAAAATGGAGCAGAGCTTTGTGATGGTAGGTAATAACAACAACATTCATGGGGCTATGATGTGGATTATTTTTACATAAGTAAATAAAATGAAGAACACCTGGGTAGACAGAGCCAATTACACCTCCTCAGTGATTCAGAGGTTGCTTGATTTGCACAACAACAAAATTAAACTGACACTGTTTATTTAAATGGCTAAAGAAAGACAGGACTTAAATGTCACCATTCAGAAGTACCCAGCAAACTTCTGATTATATAACCAGGTGCTTTCCAAGAAGACAGATAACTATGTAACCAAGCAAGATAACTATGTAACCATAGCCAGTCAAGTATTTTCTTTGTTGTACTTCTGTGTCTGACCTTAAATGCTTTTCTCCCTTGTATTTCCTGGGTGGATGTACCAGAACACAGGGTTGGAGCTGATTGAACTTCGAGCTATTTGCTCAGCATTGTTATTTGCTTAAACATATTATTGTGTCTTGGTTTACCTTTTAAGTTTGAAAAGTCGTGTATTGAATGCTTACCTTGAGGTAGGATTGTGATTATAGCAAATGTATGCACACCAAATACCAGGGTACCTGTCTGTTTAAAACAAATTCTAATGCATTTAAAGTAAGACATAGACTCTAATATAGTAGTTATGGGGAACACAACCCCTCACTTTAATAAGTGAACATACCAACTAGAAAAACGGCAGAAGCAGTGTTAAGAATGAGGTTTAAAGCAATAAGTATAGTTATTATAAAATTTCAATAATTTGAGAAGCCATTAAATGATCTGTTAGTGCATCCCAAGGATCTAGGACAAAAAATTAATAGGAGGAAAAAGTAATTAAAATTAGAAAAGAAACAGACCAAAAGATATACAAAAAAATCAGTGAAATTAAGAGCTGATTCTTTTGAAAAAATAAAATGGTAAACCACTGACTGAACTACCTTTCACCTCCTACAAAGAAGACAAATTAGTGCAATCAGGAATGCATGAAAAAAGAAGTTACAACAAACACAAGAAAAAAAGAAAAATGAGGAATTACTGTAAATAGATATATGCCAGCAAATTGGAAAATCTAGATGTCAGCAGACTTCTGAACACATAAATAAATCAAGTCATGTGAACATAGAAAAATTATGTGGACCCATAACCCAGGTGGAGATTGAGTCAGTAATAAAGACACCCTCCCAATAGAGAAAATCCCAGGGTGAATGAAGTCACTGCTGAAGTCTACCAAAATTTCTAACAAGAACTAATTTCAAATACTTCCCAAACTTGTATGAGGCCATGAACACCTTTATTTCTTCAAAAGATTTATTTATGTTGGACCTGGCACATTAGCCTAGTGCTAAATGATTGTCTTGCATCCACTGGAATCCCATAAGGGTGCCAGTTCATATCCCGGCTGATCCATTTCCCTTGCAGTTCCCTGCTTGTAGCCTGGGAAATCAATCAAGCAAGGCCCAAAGCCTTGGGACCCTGCACCTGTGTGGGAGACTCAGAAGCAGCTCCTGGCTGCATGCTTTGGATCGGGTCAGCTCCAGCAGTTTTGGCCACTTAGGAAGTGAACAATCAAACAGAACATCTTTTTGTCTGTCATTCTCTCTGTAAATCTGCATTTACAATAAAATTAAAATCTCAAAGAAATGCTTATTTTTATTGGAAAGGAAGATCAGATTTAAGAGTGAAGAAGAGACAGTAAGATTTTCTGTCTACTGGTTCACTCCCCCCAAAGCCATAAACTTTTGAGCTGAACCCATTTGAAGCCGTCATCTTCTGGGTCTTCCACATAAATGCAGGGAATCAAGGCTTTAAACCATCTTCCAGTGCTTTCCCAGGCCATAAGCAGGGAGCTGAATGAAAAGTAAAATAGCCAGGACAGGACACAGTACTCGTGTGGGATCTCAGAGCTTGCTTGCAATGTAAAGATTTAGCCATTGTGACCAGGCCCCATTACCCTCATTTTAAAACCAGAAAAAGATAAAACAAAGAAAACTCTAGACCAATATGCCTGGTGAATACAGATGTAAAAATCCTCCACCACATTTTAGCTAGGTGAATCCTGCACCACATCAGAAAGATGATCATGTAGAGCAAGTGAGATTTATCTCTTACATTAAGGGATGATTGAAGGGGCATAGTAAGTGTACTGTGAAACACAATTTCAAATTGTCATTTGTTAATGTGATTATTTTAGTAAATGCAGTGAAAGTATCTGATAAAATACAACATCGCTTCGTAATAGGAACCAACAAAAACTTACAAATGGAGCATTCCTTAACACAATCAAGGCAATAGATCAGAAACACCTAGTGAGTATCATATTCATTGGGGGCAAAATTGCAGGTATTTCCACTAAGAATGGTTACTTATTTACCTGAAATGTATAGGTTTCTTGTTCATTACGCCATTAATTAGTGTATCTTTTCTTGTGATCTGACTGTACCAGTTCTCTGCTAACTCTGCTGTGTTCATTTTTTTTTCAGTCATTATTGATTGAGTACTTATGAAATACATCAGATACTGCACTAGGTTTCCTGAGTAATAGTAATGAAACAGTAACTGCCTCGGTAAGGCCCTATTATCTGGTGATCAGCCACAATGCATTATCTTACTGAGATCTGTGAGAAGTAATAGTATACTTTCTAACCTTAATAGAAGGCACCTGAATGTGCCGAGACTGGCTTTTCACAAGAACAGTAGTGGTCTGAGGCTATGACATAAAAGTTAGAAGGGAAGAGAAGTTTGGAAGAGAGTAGTATATGTCCGGAGGAAGCATTAGACGAGAGCATGCAAAGCACACGTAAACTATGATAAGGATTGTACTGGAAGAAAGGTTCTTCAGCAATAGTCACAAATCCTACATTCTTTTAGTTAATTGTATCATGGAATTGAAGTATAGACAATGATAGACAGTATCCTATTGTCAAGGTGTGTCTAATAATTTCATTGGGAGTCCTCCATTTATTCAGGAGTATACAAGCATACTGCACATAAACAGTGTGAGGGGGTACCAAAGGTGAAGAGGCTTCTCTGCTTTAGAGTTTATCTCATTGCTTGTCTTTTGTTCTTTTTTTTTTTTTGCTCACTTAACTAGAAAAATTATTTCATCATATTCCCAACCAGCAAACATCCCTCTCTGAACCTTTTTCTGTTTTATTTTCAGTCAAAATTTATGAAAACAAACAATTTTGGAGATAACAACTGGATTTGTTTTCTGGGATTCCTGGCTGGCATTACAATAAAAGATGAATGCCAGTCATAACAGAATTTCATGAAATATATCTGATCCTTTGTATAAAATATTTTATTTTTTCATTTTGTGATGTGATTCCGTAGGCTCTGGGACTTCCCTTAATAAATCCACAAATTCTCTAACCTCAGTGATTTCTCCTTTATTATTACAGTTGTATAGTCTTTCATAAGCAGTCATATGTCCACCTGACATTGCAGGTATGGACAATGGCAGACAGTCCAGTATTCTAATTTCAAGATATAGTTAACAGTTTTATTGAGAGTCCATCTTTGATTTGGAAGTAGAGATGCATATTGCATTATTTCTGCACATTTGGATATGATAGTGTCTATTATACAGTTATATATTTCTTTAAAAGGTATAAAACAAAATCAACAACAGGAACAAAGTTAAATATTTTAACACTGTAAAGTTAAATAATATGCTACTGAGTGACCAATGTGTCGATGAAGAAATGAAGAAAACGAAAATGTTCTTGGAGAAAATGTTGCTACTGTTGAACCTGTAAGTCACTGAAGAATTTAGTAAAACTATTTTGAAGAAATGAGAATTAAAACAAAATTATCAAAGCCCATGAGTTTCAGCAAAAACAATATTGAAATGGCTATTGATCTTATATTTTTCATGAAGGTTGCCTTATATCAGTAAGAACAGATGATATTTGTCCTTTTGGGATTGGCTTGTTTCACTGAGCATAATGGTCACTAGTTGGGACCATTTGGTATAAATGGTACCATTCAATTCTTTTTAATGGCTGAGTGGTTTTCCATGGATTAGATACAGCACAGTTTTTAAATCCGCTCCTTTTTTGATGGGCATCTGAGCTGTTTTCATGTGTTTGCTTTTGTAGATTGTGCTGCTGTGAATATAGGATTACAGATCCCATTTACTTTGAGTATATTCCCCACAGTGGAATAGCTGGGTCATACAACAGGTTTGTTTTCAGTTCTTTTATCACTCTCCATACTGACCATACTGTATATGGTCATTCTATAGTGTTGTACTAGCTTAGACTCCCACCAACAGTGAAGGAGGGTATTTTGCTGCACATATCCATGCCAGCAGGTGTTGTTAGTAGAGTTCTGAAAGTAGACCAGTCTCATTGGAGTTAGGTGGAACCTCAGTGTGGTTTTCATTTGTACCCCCCCGACAGCTGGGGAGCCTGAGCATTTTTTTCATCAAACTACGTCAAACTAAAAAGTTTCTGCACAGCAAAGGAATCTATCAATAAAGTGAAGAAGCAACCAACAAAATGGGAGAAAATCTTTGCTCACTACACAATCAATAGGGGACTAATACCCAGGATTTACAAGCTTCAGAAACTCAAGTGACAGCAGAAGCAAACAATCCTGTGAATAAATGGGAGAAGGAAATGAACAGACGTTTTTCAAAAGAACAAATTCAAATGACTAGCAGACAAATGAAAACATTCTATATTCTTAATGAAAATTTCTTGCACACTGAATCAGTTACCTTATAACTCAATAGTACATTGAAACACTGACATTTAGTTTACAGATCTCCTGGTTGGCTGGTGTGGGGCTTTTCTCCACATGGCCTCATTCTCCAGAGGCAGGTAGCCTAAAGAGATCATACTATCTCAGAGAATTTGAAGAACTTCAAGAGGGCACACCCAACCACATGAGCATGTTTAATGTTTGCCTGCAAGCTGTGTGCTCACATGCCACTGGGAATGCCCATCATCATGGCTACAAACACACAGATGGGTGTCATTTAATAATAGGGACATGATCTGAGGAATGTGTAATTTCTTTCTGCCATTGTTATGTAAATGTCTTAAAAATACTCACTTGGACCTTCATGGTGTAAGTTACTCTACATAACCTTGTTTTTATTGGGTAAGATTTATTTACATTTTTTAATTTGAAAATCAGAGAGAAAAAAGGGAGAAAAATTGATATTCTAGTTTCTGGTTCTGGTTCACTTACCAAATGGCTCCTGCACGTAGGGCTGGGCCAGGCTGAAATCTAGAGCCAGGTAAGTCAACCTCATTTCTCATTTGGTGACAGGGACGTAAGTACTTGTGACATTTTCCAGTACCTTCCCATAAAGAAAGCAGGAAGCTGGATCAGGATTGGAGCAGCAGCAGCAGCACTTTATCTGGTACTCTGATGTGAGATGCGAGTATTGCAAGCTGCAGCTAAACCTGATACAACATTACACTGGTCACAATCTATTGCCTCTGGATATAATCAAACAATGCAGTAAACACAAGATGAATGACATTGTTGCGCTGGTATCAGCTTATAGTAGTGCAGTAAACTTTTTCTGCCTATAAAGGAGAACACTCTAAAGTAAGCGAGTGTAGTGTGAAAGCCAGTAACATAGAGTACAATAGTTGCTTATTGTCATCATCAAGTATTAATGCATAGTTTATAGTTGCTTGGGTTATGCTTTTTGTGTGTGTGACTAGCAATACATACAATCTTGTTTCCCAGTATCCCCACAAGCATGGGAGGAATGCATTGTTCTGCAACTTGTTTTAAGATTTATTGTTTTACTTGAAAGAGTTGCAGAGAGAGAGAAAAAGATGGAAGAGAAATATCCATCTTCTGGTTCAACCCTGAATAGGAGGTTGTTCTAGTCTATTATGTGGATGCTGATGCCTAAGGCCTTGGACCATCCTTTGCTGCTTGCTCAGGCTGTTAGCTGGGAGCTGGATTGGAAATGAAGCAGCTGGGTCTCGAATCTGTGCTCATGTGGGATGCCAGCATGTGCTATCCATTTATATGAGCAGGAGCCTCGGAGCATGCCCTGCGTCGGGGACCTGGGATGGGTGGGATGCTGGGTATGGCTTTCCCTTTATCTCTTCCCTTACCCCGGATACAGAAAAAAAAATTAATGTGGAAACAATGGTCTTACCCACTTCCTGTAGTCCTTGACCCTTTGTGCCCTAATCAACTATGTAAAGATTACCCAAATAAAACATTTAAAAAATTAAAAAAAAATTGAAAAACATTTAAAATTTTATTTTTTAAAGATTTTTATTGGAAGGCAGATTTATAGAGAGAAGGAGAGACAGAGAAAAATCTTCAGTCCACTGGCCCACCGCGCAAGTGGCCACAGCAGCTGGAGCTAAGCCAATCTAAAGCCAGGAGCTAGGAGTTTCTTCTGGGTTTTCCACATGGTTGCAGGGTCCCAAGATGTTGGGCCATGCTTGACTGCTTTCCCAGGCCACAAGCAGGGAAATGCAAGGGAAGTAGATCAGCCTGAATATGAACTGGTACCAGATATGGACCCTGGTGCATGCAAGGTAATGGTGTAGCCATTAGGCTACCACTCTGAGCACATTTTTAATTTTTTAAAAAATTTTATGTATTTATCTTTTTAGTGCCAGCCTCATTTTACAGCGTTTTGATGGCTGTGATATGGGTAGACTATAGGAATTTTTTCAGCTGTATGTAACATTTTGGTAAAAAAAAATTAGTGACCTAAATATCCTTATAGATGCATCACATGTGAAAAGAGGTGGAAAGTTATACATACATTGTGGATATTAGGAGCCCATTGTATTCTGTGCAGTCTTTATTGTCTCTACATCTGTTTCTGCATTCTACCTTGTCATCGCTAGTGGTATTTATACCGTTTTATATTCTGCTTCTACGTAGTATAATTTTGTGGAGATAATTTGTCTAGATTATATACTCTTTTTTTTAAAATGGTAGTTTCCTTGACTTAAATTTTGTTGATAGGTGTGTCTGCATCAACATCATTTGAAGTGCATAGTAAAAATAACCCCCTGGCCTTAACTCAGAAGTCCTAGAATCACAGTATTTGGTCCTGGGGCCAGGGAAACTTCATTAGTAAACTGAATCATCAGGTTGTTCTTGTTCAAATTTGACAGATGCTTCTTTAGTGTAAGGAGATTTGCCTTGTATTGATTTTTCCCACATTTTAACTAATAGTCATCACTTGTTGAAATAACTAGTTTTCTTGGAGTATTCTGTTCGGTTTTCCCTAATCCAGGTTTTAATAATTTACAGTTGAGGAAAATACTACTTTATGCAAAGAATGGCTTTGGGATGCTAGTAAACATGAGATGATAAAGGTTACCAACTTGAGGGTTTATTTGTTGACTGATGAAAAAGAGAGTGATAAAAGAGTGATAAAAGATATCTCTGTTTTTTAATTTGTAAAGTTAGGGATTGCATTCTTATTCTGCTAGTTGCTGGTTTTCTAAAGGAAAGTAGAAGAGTTCATATTATGTATTTATTTTTCTCATTAAAGTTTTGTAAATTTGACAAATTCTTTCTGCAACTTTTGATATTTTTGGAGTATCTTGTTTTCTCACTTGGATACTTTATTATGTGTTGTGCTGTATTAGGAAATGAAATTATTATTATTATTTTTTTTTTTGCAAAGGGAATTTCTTTGATTACATGACAGTACTAATGCTGCCCACAGAAGCTGAATATCCTTTAGGAAATGGTGTCATCAACAGTTGTTTATATTTTTAAATATTTACATGTATTTAAAGAGATACCTTGAGGATGAAACAGTTATCAGCCATTTTATTTACTCTATACCTTATACATATAGTGCAAAGATAATGTTGCACAGGATAGTGAACCTGTGTTTTGACCAGCATCCATTAAGTGTGAGCCTTTCCTCATTATAGTATCAGTGCTCATCAAGTTTCAGATTTGGAGAATTTCTGTTTTTGAATTTTTTGGGCTGGGAATGCTGAATCTAGGTACCTTCTTCTTTCTTAACATGACTCTAATTTTGTTTTATGGCAGCTTTTTTGCCTAGTTGAAAGTTAGATTTCTAGCCACCTCTGAAGCTAGGAGTTGCTACACAGTTTACTTCTGCTCACTGAAGCCTTTAGTGAAGGCCTGTTGGGTGGGACTCAGTAAAGAAGGCAAAGTGAGTGCAGATACTGTGATCACCAGCCATCCTCTTGCAGGGTGGAGAGCATCTTGTGATAGTGATAGACATGTAAGTAAGTAGAACATGGAAGGGTGTTGTAGTGCAAAGATAAGAATGTGGGTCTTGGACACCATGTTTAATTTTGCCTGGAATGTTTACTGACAGTAGTTTCTGTACAGTGGGGCAAGAGGTTAAGACCACATGAATGCTCAATCTGTAACGTACATTGAACCCTGTTACATGTCATTGACTGCAATTTCAAATGTTGTCTTTGTAAAAAAAAATATATAGTCTTTGTAAATCTACTTGGACTCCTTTATCTGAAACTTCTAAAATTTTCTCCCTGTACCCTCAATTCCTGGTCTGCCTCAACCTCTATTTTGTCAATTGATTAGGGCTTTTGACTTTGGAATGTTTAGATGTAATTCTTACTTAAATTACCAGGCATGTTTTGAAGTGCAGTTTATGACTTTTGCATCAAATGATATGAATGTAGAATACCTTAATGTTTGATTTTTTTTTTTTGAGATTTATTTCCCTTTTGAAAGTCTGAGTCACAGAGATAAAGATATCTTGTTCACTTCCCAGATGGCCAGTATGGCCAGAGCTGGGTCAATCCAAAGCTAGGGGAGGAGCTAGTTCTGTGTATCGTCCCTAGGTGCGGGAGCCCAAGGCCTTGGGCCATGCTCTGCTGTTTTACCAGGTCATTAACTGGCAGCTGGATAGGAACTGCAGTGGCCAGGGCTAGAACAGGCCCTGATTGCACATTGCACACTGATTAGCCTGAAAGGATATTGCCCCTGTTATAAATCTTTAATTTTGAATTAATTTCCATTTAAAGTTATGATACCATTAGAAGTAACTTTAATAACTTATTTTTGTTGAACCAGCTGAGAGTAAACATTCCTCTCTTCTTTAAAGCATCAGTGTTTTTAAATATTTAGCAACAAAATGGTTTGGAATATATTTGATAAGAAAATATTGTCTTATGAAACTGTAGATTGACAAATTCAAAAATTTAGTTTTAATTCTGTATCATTGCCAAGCAGGACATATTCACCTGTGTTTCTCCATTTGTTCCCATAATGTGCTGCATAGCCTTTGGGATGAAGATGCAGTCCCGTTTCCTGTGCTGCGTTTACAGCCTTTGTCTCCTTCACTGTGGAGACTTTGTTTTGGTGAGGTAGATATTTTCAACATAAAAGAGCAGTTACTTTGCACAGTGTCCCTCAGCTTGGAGTTATGTTTTCTCAGGACTAGATTTGGTTGTGCTTTTGTGGCAGAATGTATACAATGAGTAGTGGGTCAGAAGGCACACTTGTCATCTCATTTTTGGTAACCTTAGGTGGTGATAGGTTTTTCACTGTAATGTTGTTTTTTGTCTTTTGTAATTTGTGAGAAGAGAGTTTGAACTGTGTCAGTATTCTGTTTCTCTTTAAACTTTGGCCTGATGGTATTAGCCTCCATTGAGATCTCTGACAAAATTAGTACTGATCAATGTAAATCTTTTTCAGACACATCTGCAGATCTTAACTTATTTAAGTGACTGGGCTTATTTTTCCTGTTATATCCATGGAACTGTCTTTATTTCATGGTATTGTTTTATAATTTTTAGAAACTTGTTTTAAGAAATACAAAGGTATTTTGCGTGAATATTGTCCTTTGGGGATTGACTTATTGATCTGCTATAAGGTGATATTCATGTAGAATATAGGACAAATAAATATAAACATATATAAAAATATATTCTCACAAATGAAATGTATAATGGGGACTGGCATATTGGGAAGTGAAGATATGTTACAGTATGCATCTTACTCCCAAATAAAAAGAGAACTGATTCCCTATGAAACTATTAAATATATCTTGACAGTATGATACTAGGTTTTCTACCATTGTCGATACCTACAGTGTCAGGATACACTTAAATAGCAGAATGTTCCATTTGTGACTGTTGCTGAAGGATTATACCATTGTGATAATATAAAGGGAAACACTGAGGGGAGGGAGTTTAGGGAAGCAGGGATGGGAGGTGAAGTGTGTAATCCCTATAATTGCAAAACCGTGCCATGGAAAAATATATGAATATTAATGCTGAATATCATCTATACTTCATGAAATGGTTCAAGAAAATGTGGCCAGGTGCATGTGATTATCTACTGGATGTGTGCTGCAGAAAGCAGTAGAACATGAGTAATTATTATCCAGACCTTCCTGTGTGCATGGCCTTCAAATAAAGGGCTTAGCTTGTTTTACAGAAAGAATAAAATAGGATAAAGTAAAATAAAATAAAAACAGGGCCCGGCGTGATGGCACAGCGGTTAAGGTCCTCGCCTTGCACGCCCGGGATCCCATATGGGCGCCGGTTCTAATCCTGGCAGCCCCACTTCCCATCCAGCTCCTGGCCTGTGGCCCCGGAAAGCAGTTGAGCTTGGCATAGCATCGGCTGTTGTGCTCACTTGGGGAGTGAATCATCGGACGGAAGATCGTCCTCTCTGTCTCTCCTCTCAGTATATCCGCGTTTCCAGTAAAAATAAAATCTTTAAAAAAAAAAATAAAAAAAGTAAAAACTAAAAAAGAAATATATAGGTACATGCAGGAACATAGTTACTAACTCAGGAAGGTTGGAGAAAGTTTTGGTAGTGAAATCCTAAGCCGCCTCTTCTTTTTTTTTTTTTTTCCAGAGAAGCACACAGATGGTATTGACTGTCAGAGAATTGAGGTAGATGGGGGCAGATATTCATTCACCTCAGTCTTTTATGATGGCTAGGTTGAAGAATGGCATGATCCTTTCCTTGCCCTTAATAAGTCCTGGGCTTCAGGCCCGGCGTGGTGGCGCAGTGGTTAGGAGCGTCACCTTGCACGCCCGGGATCCCATATGGGCGCCAGTTCTATCCCAGCAGCCCCGCTTCCCTTCCAGCTCCCTGCCTGTGGCCCGAGAAAGCAGTCCAGGACGGCCCAAAGCTTTGGGACCCTGCACCCGTGTGGGAGACCCGGAAGAGGCTCCTGGCTTCGGATCAGCATAGTATCGGCCGTTGTGCTCACTTGGGGAGTGAATCATCGGACGGAAGATCTTCCTCTCTGTCTCTCCTCTCTATATATCCGCCTTTCCAATAAAATAATAATAAAGATAAATCTTTAAAAAAAAATAAGTCCTGGGCTTCCCATGATGTAATCACCCACAAGCTCATGGCCAAAGTGTGTGTGTGTATCAGCTTTGTCAGGGGCCCAAACGTTCTTCCATGTGTTCATAGTGCAGACCCCTTCTTGTTGGGAGACATAACTGGGGACAGAGTTGAAACAGCACAGGAAATGGTTATTTCAGTAGAATTCCTTGTAAGTAGTAATATGGACTCTACTTTTCAGAGACCTGAGAATGGAATAAGAACTCTCCAAAATCATATGCCTTTCTAGAAGATTGAGATTTTCTTTTGAAATGACATCTGTGTTTCTCTTCTTGACTCTGATCTACATCACACTCCTACCATCCCTCCCTTCCAGGTTATTAATTTTCTTCTCTGTAATGATTTTTTTTTTCTGCTTTTCTCCAGCATCAGCAGACATTTTTGAATCAGCTTAGAGAAATTACTGGGATAAATGACGCTCAGATACTACAGCAAGCCCTGAAGGTATGGCCTCTATTTTCTAACATACAATCTGTGGTAATCCTTCATCTTTACTGTATATAATAGAAAGCTGAGTTATTTAAACGTGCGGGAATGGATGTGCAGAAATATATTTTTTAAAGTAACGTCCTTGCTTGCTATGGCTGTGAGCATCTTGGCTTTCAAGAATCTAATGTTTCCTGGTAACTTGGGAGTGACAGATACCATTTTCCTAAATAAAACAGTTTTCATGCATAATGGTGGACTCTGAATACTAAAGATAATGGTGATTTGTTTGGGAGCCATGATTTTAGGGATTAAAAGGTGTAATATAGCATGAATTGAGAGGAAGAAGTGAAGAGAAGGGAAAAATTGAAAATTTATACAGGGGTGAAGTGTAAACTTTTCCTCCTAGAATAGAAATATAATTGACTTCCATTCAACCAATGCTGTGTTAACATTTGCCTTGAAATTCTTCAGCTTACACAGCAACCGTTTTGATGGTAGCTTAGATGCCTTTTCCCTTTTCATATCGACACACAGATCAGTGAAATCACATGGATATTCATGTTATAAAAGATCAAGACATTGAAAGATGTTCAAGAGCTAGAATTTTTCATTAAGATGCTTTTGTGTTTCACTAAAGACTAAAAACACTATAGCATTTCCAGCACTGTGTTCATACACCTAATTCCAGTCCTTTGGAACTTGCTCCATGAGACAAAGTTGATTATGTAATTCCCTATTCTGAGCCAAAGTATCTTCCTTTGTTTCTAGAAAAAAATTATCTTCTAGATGGTTAACAATCAAAATCATCATAGTGGTGATGGCTAGCACTTATTAATACATAGTAATAGTGGACACTGTTTTAAGTAGTTTCTGTGATGTAACTGATTCTCTGTACTCTGTGTGGAGAAGCTTCTAATAGAAGACAGACAAGTCTCTAGGGCTCCAGGGAGCCATTGGGCTTATTTGGAGAGGCAGCAGGAGAGTGCCTCCTTTTCTGTGATCATATGATCATCAGTCCTTCATCATTGCTTGCTCATTGTAAATCACTGAGTGTGACTCTTCATCCTATCACTTTTGACAGGGTAAATTTGGGGAATAGCCTTTGATTCCTCTAGCTTGGGAAGCATGTAAGTCAAAGATTTATTCACTTTTTTTTTGACATAAATTGTGTGTAAGGCTTTTTATTTTTAGTTTTCGAATTTCCTTTTATGGACAGATATAGCCAGGCACATTTCTTTTCATTTTTTTTTTGTTGTATTAGAAGTCTTGTTACAGGTTACTCTAACATATGTTTTCCAAATGAACTTGAAACTCGATATTCCAGGTATGACCTTGATGAGAATTTTGTAAGATTGATGATGTATTTGACATAGGTACAATATCATCTTGAACTGTATTCAGTATTTCAGGTTAGGAGTTCTGTGTGTCTGTCAACTATCAGGCCTCAGTAAATTTTGCTGTTTCTTCATGTCAGTCCTTGATTTTTGCTTTTTAAGTCTGCGCATCGATATATATCTTAATACCCATTAAAGCACATAATTTAAAGGCAGATGTTTGACTTAGCAGTTGTCACTTGGGAAACTTGGGTTCCATATTGGAGTGTCCAGGCTGAGCTGTGGATTTGCTCCTAATTCCAGCCCCATGCTAATTTAGGCAAGACACAGGGGTTGACTCAACTGTGTGGGAGACCCAGGTTGAGTTCATAGCTCTCAGTTTAGATCAGTGTTGGACCCTGTGGAGTGAACCAGTGAATGGGAGTTCTTTTCTGTGAGGCTAAAAAAGAGAAGTTATTGCAAAACTGTATTAGTTTTGATTAATAAAGGTGTTACTATAGCATATTCTATATATGTAGATTCACTGTGTTAAGCTGGAATCACTTATGGGGCAATTTTACATTAGAAAGTTAGTTTTTTTTGTTTGCTTTTTTGGCTGTATCCGATGTGTTTTGATGTTTCTTCTTAATTTGTTTGGTTTATTCCAAATAATTTCTTTTTTCTTGTTGAATTCATCACAGACTCAAGGATTATATGATGGCATCGTTTTTCCCAAGAGACTTTTGTGTTTCCTTTTTGTCACCCATGTGTTGGTTACTCAGCAGCACATTTTTTTCATGGTGCTGTAATTTGTTGTTGATGATGTTGTTGTGGCTGTTCTAACTCATACCAGTTGGTGACCTTGTTTCATAGCTTCCCACTTATGGAAATGTATAATGATGGAGTACTGGGGTCTATCATATACAGACGTGGGGGTATAATGGAACATGCATCCCTGCTTCCAGACAAAAGATGGATCACTGTGAAATTGTTGGAAAGGTGTAGACAATGGGATGCTGGACTGTCTGACATTGTCTGTACCAACAGTGTTGGGGTACACATAAATAAGAGACTGATAGAATTATGATTCCTTATGAAGGACTGCACTATTGTAACCAAATGGGAAAAATCTGATGGGGTGGGAGCTTGGGGGGAGAATCCCAGCCTATACAAAATTGTACCACAAAATTTAAAATAAAAATATATTAAAAAATAAGGGTATTCTATTACATAGTAGCTAATATGGAAAAAAGAAGATAGACTTTGTAACAATGTATTATTCCCAAGTAATTGAAGCCCCTGTCTTGATATTTGAAGGATAGTAATGGAAACTTGGAATTAGCAGTGGCTTTCCTAACTTCGAAGAATGCCAAGACCCCTCAGCAGGAAGACATTACGTACTATCGCTCGGCACTTCTTGACAATGACAGATATATCAGTGTGGGAAGCCAAGCAGATACAAGTAAGTCTTCTTACCTTCCTTTGTATTTAATAGAAAATTATAAAAAAGTTCTCCTTTGTAATGTTTTACTTTTTGCTTAGGCAACAGTGTATACTTTTACTAGCTCAATATTTTCCACAGATTAGAATAAAATATTTTATTAAGTTATATATTTTCAGAACATTTCATATAGTATTCATTGCTTTAACATTTAGAGCAGGAACATGTGTCATAAAAGAAAAATACCTAGAATTTTAAATGTATTTATTTATTTGTTTTGTGGATTTTGGTTGTTTTGGGTGATTATTACTTTTGAGGATTACATATTGTTTGTTTTTATTCAATTTTCCCGTGACTAACAAAAGTGCATTTCCTTCTCTTCCCCTTTCTGTATAAAGATTTTGGAGAAAAGGTTTCTTATCATGTAAGAGAATCCTCCTTGAAAATGATGCTTAGGAGATAAAAAAAAATTTCACTTGTGACTCTAGATGTTGTTTGTAATATGAATATTTTAGACTTATTAGAACTTAGTTTTTTTAACTTGTAGTATTTTTATTTGATAATTGTTATATATATAAATAGATTTATGCATGGCTTTGAGAACTTTGATTACTGGTATGTGTTTGCACTGAATTTCTGGTTTTGTTTGTGGACCTTTCTAAAGTTAAGAAGCACATTCAGCTAAGTAATGAATGATGCTCATTATAGTTTATTTATAGATGAAATATTTTCACATGCAACTTTTAGAGTAATATTTTTGCTCCATAAGTGGTAGAATATCCTACCTCACACAATTAATGAAAGATGGTCTAAGTTTTGCTACAGAGGATATGTTTGTTTGTTTTGATGTCCAATTGTCTTGACTGAATCTACATTTCTAGTTTTATTTCCCACTGTTTTCCTCTTCTGATTTTGTACTGTAAAATACAAAATGGCTTTAAGTCTCGTAGATCGTGTCCTGTTTAATTTCTCTGGGTTTCCACTTGCCCTCCTGCCTACCTGGAATCTGCTCTGAGCTTTCCCTCCCTCGCCTAATTTGTTTTGGTGTCGAAAAATTTTACTTAAGAACCAGTAAGTGGAGGATGATTTCCCCAGTCTCTGATTGGACCAAGAGTTTCTGTAACATACTGGACACACTTCTGTTTTACTTAGTACTGTGTCGTTTTGATTGATTTGAATATATTTTGTGTTTGCTAAGAAGTGTTCTATGAATTACTCTGTGAAAGTGTATGGAGAAAAGCTCATTGGAAAGAATGAAACAGAATGAGATTAGAAACTTCCAAAAAGTTGGAAAAGCAGAAAAGTTGTATAATTGCAAGAGCATTTACTAGTACTGGAAACCTCTCCTGTGTTACAAGGTTCTGTGAATTGTGTACAGTTACAAACTAGATAGGTAATAAATGGCAAAAATAAATGGATTATTTTGATTGAAAGCAACTGGCCAAAGTAAAGTAAGCATGAAATTGATTTAACTGAGTGCTGTAGTGAAAGGATGAAAAGATGTTAGAAGGTTGGGAACTCACTGCTCATATAGATTGTGTACTTTGTGATGAGAAACTTTCTCTGTGTGTGAAGGGGAAAATTAGGATTGTTAAACTTATGAGGCAAAGTTTGTTTGCTGTGTTAGAATAATCAATTGTTGTTTAACCAACTATTAATGTCTGTTGAAGACTTGATTTCATTAGTGCAAATGTTATGGAAGGCAAAAAGAGAAATTTAAGTCAGTGCTCTCAAGAAGCAGACAAGCTGATGCCCAAGAAATAGTCATATTTGTATCTTTTACATAGACCCTCGTAGTTAATTTTATTTCCATTTAAATCAAAGATTGAAAAATAGTGTCTGATATCATGTTCACTGATCTGTTGTCATTGACTAATTGCTAGCTGTTGTGGTTTCTTTATAAAATGTACTGTCCTTCTAGTCAGGATTCTCACTGGGATCGTATATCCATATGTGGGCTTTAGATTATTGAGAAGTGAACTGCTGTTGAAAGTTCATGTGCTTCTGTTGAGATTGTGTCAGTATCAGATTGGAGAAAAAATGGCTGATGAAATAACAGTAGTTTTCTGTGTAGCATATTTGTACCTACTGTGGAAAAAAGTGTTAAGAAGTATAATTACCAGTGGGCAATAATAATCATTCAGTAATTAAATTTAGTTTCCTGCTATTACATGGCTTAAGACTGAATGTAACATGAGATCATGCATTTAACATGTGCTTAAAAGTGTTACAATCACTCTTTAAAATTTTTTAATACTCTTTCAAAATTACTTTGCATTCATTGCTGGGAAGTGAAATCTTGTGCATGTTTAGTTCGTGGAAGGAGCAGTTAAACTTGCATGTGAGAAGACAAAATATTTACAAGTGAATATACATTCAAATGTGGGCCTATGTTTTAAAAATTGCTGAAATGCTGGAGGAAAACCGTATAGATGAGTGGAGTGTAGTTCTTGCAGGTTTGTTGTAGAGATCAGTACTCTTTTTGAGTATCTTCTTAACTTTATTTGAAATTGTTATTTGAAAGTTGATTACACTTTTTTGGCAGGGTCTTTTTTTTTTTAAGTGATTTGTTTATTTTGCTTGAAAGAGTTAAACAGAGAGAGGGAGAGACAGAAGAGACAGAGAGGCAGAACGAGTGAGAGGGAGTGACAGGGAGTGATCTATCTGCTGATTTTTTGCCAAATCACCATAATTATCAGAACTGGGCTGATTAGAAACGGTGAATCAGGAGCTTCTCCTGTGTCTCCCGTGTGGGCCCAGGGCACAAGAATTAGATTTTTTTCTGCTGCTTTCTAAGGATATTAGCAGGGTGCTGTATTAGGAGTGGAGCAGCCAGGACATGAATCACTGTCCACATGGGATCCAGTACTGCAGGTGGAGGATTAGGGTTTCATTTTTAATCTATTCACCCAACCCCCTTTTAAGTGCAGACCCTAAGAACCAGCATAGGCACAAAAAATGTCATGCTAACTTGAAATGCGTTATCTGCTGGTTGCAGTGTGGATAAAACATCTGTGTTTTGAAATAAACATCTGTAATACTAAAAAATATCCTTTCTTAATGTTATAGACTGGAGTGTCACTGCTAACAACTGTCCCTTTCAGAGGAGTAAAACACTTTCTTGTATAACAAGAAAGAAATTGATTTTTAAGTTAGTGTGTCCAAAAGTCATGTGGATAATTTTTCATTTATGCATAACCATTATGTATTAGAAGGCAGAGTGAATTATGTCACTTCATTGGAAAATCATGTATGGTTATGGACTTTGTTTAATAGTGAAAACATTTTTAAGTTACTAACACGGTAATCATGACCTTTGGTGCATATTCTGTACTTTTGAGAGAAATGGAAAATGTTTAAAGGAAACCCTATACATAATATACATAATACTTTAAAAGTAGTCTATCTGCTGTGTTTGTATTTGGCAAAAGACTATACTGTCAGTTAATATTCTGTTGAATTCATGGAAAACACCCAAATCATTTGCAGTGTAGTTAGGAAAACAAATCTAGGTAGCGTTTACAAATTATTGCTTACATCTGTGGAAATTTGATGTTACAGATTTCCAATGAGTTCCTCCTGCTCCCAGTTTAAATTAGGAATGGAATTTTATGTTACAGATTTGCAATACAAAGCAATAATGAAATAGGACATAATTTGTTGCAGACAGTAAGTATGTTTCATAGTCAGGGAAGACATTCTGTGAAGTTTGGATCATGGCAACATCTGTCATCATGTGGCATATGAGACCTTTGTTCCACTTGAAATATTGTAGTAATAATCTTTGTTTTATGACCATTAAATTCTTGTGAACTTTTTAAAATAGGAAAAACACAATATATGCACATCAGAACAAGATGCATATCAATTGAGTAATCAAAATAATCAAAATGAATCAAAGAATTAAAGGGGCTTGGTAGATAATTTTAATGGAAACCAATAGCAGATATAAGCTTAAATTTTAGGGAAACTCATGCAACACGTTGGAAGGAGTGTTTAGTGCAGTTTCACTTAAGAAACATCTTGAATAATTTGGAAAGGTTGCAGAGAAAGAGAAGCCTTCATGTTCTATTCTGGAATGGTAGTTATAGTTAAAGTAGTTGATCAGTCTATTAGTGATTTAGAGAATATATTGATAAATAGGTCTCTCATGATATTAAAACAGGTTATCTGAGAGAGAGAGAGGAAGAGAGACACAGAGACAAGTTTATTCCCAAAATGCTTGTAGCAGCCAGTGTTTGACGAACCTGAAGCCAGGAACCAGACTCTCTTGGTTTTCTACAGTCCAGGTAGTTGAGCCATTATCTCATGTCTTCAGGCACATTGGAAGGGAGCTGGATAGAAACATGGGAGCTGGGGCTACAGCTGGCGCTCTGATGAGTCATTGTAGGGGCTTTAACTCATTGTGTCATAGTATCACCCTAACCTCCCAACTTCTTGCTAAGGGTTTTATTATTCGAACACTGGCACTTTTCCCATTCTCCAAGTTTATTAAATAAGTGACTTCACAAAAACTTCAGATACAAAATGAGAATGAAATGAATTCTAACCACTTTTGCTTTAGAAACTTCTAACTTATAAACCTCATATATTATGATGTTTTTGGGTAAGGCACTTTTGACTTTTAAGCAATTGCATCCTTTTGGAGTCTTGTGCTGGTGACTGATAAGTTTTGCTCAATTCTTAGTTTCTTGGAAATTGGAAAATTTGTGACTACAGTGTATTGATATGTATATTTCTAGTTTTATAGGAATTTTTTTCAGATTTATTTTATTTATATTAGAAAGTCTGATATACAGAGAGTAGGAGAGACAGAGTGGAAGGTTTTCCATCTATTGATTCACTTCCCAAGTGGATGCAATGGCTGGAGCTAGGCTGATGCGAAGCCAGGATCCCAGTGGCTCTTCCTGGTCTCCCATGCCGGTGCAGGGTCCTAAGGCTTTGGGCCGTCCTTGACTTCTTTCCCAGGCCACGAACAGGGAGCTCAATGAGAAGCGGGGCTGCTAGGATTAGAACTGGCC